ATTGCATATGAGATTCTTTGTTGAAATGATGTGTTTGACATAATGATGCTTGCAAATAGGCCAGAATTAGTGGCTATTTCAGCAGTTTGTGGTGGAATGAGGGCTCACACCTGAGCCCATGAGTTCCCATTATTCCCAAGCCATGCACTAGCTGAAAGCTCTCTCTGAATATTGATTTGCATATTTTCAGAAATTTGTAAGGTATGTGAGTATGTGAGGTTATTTCTTCCTGACATGGAGAAACATTTCCAAATCCCAGAAATGAGAAGTACTGAAGTCAACATTTGGTGTAAAAAGGCTTTAAACAAAATATTGCGTTAAATGCCTGAGCCGCCGAATTCAGCAAATCCAGAACTCATGGATTTAACCTTGTGCCAATATCTACAGCGATTGCCACCGCCACTGAGACTGGTTAGCCTCTGTCAGCTTGCTTAGTAGCTTGACTGTAAGCATTTATGTTTGTTGCAGTAGCAATTTTATGTAGGCTGGAAGGTAGGGGACCCATCGCAGGCGTGAGTGGCCCCGGGAGGCTGACACAGACCTGTGCTGCTGCCCAGGCCGCCCGCGCCAGCCCGGAGAGATCATTACCCAAGGAGCGTGCGCATCAAAGGACTGTTAATATGCAATCAATGTTCTTCTTTGTAGCATTTTGCTCTTCCCTGCAAATGGTGCAACTTGAGCGACTTCCAAAGAAGTCATTTTCATCACTGCCTTTGGTGTAAATACTCTTATGGTAAAGACTAGTAATAGCAAATCTAATTTTTCTTTTTTTTTTTTCCTTTTTACTATATAAAATTTGCTCCTATTTAAGCCTCAGTCTCCAGTTGTAACAAAGCATAAAGTTAAAATGGTAGATCTCTTAGAAAAAGCCAATGGAAACGTGAGACATTTTAATTGCTTGTAACATTTAAACAGTAGAAGAGATTGACTGTCACTGTCTCCTGAAAATGAGCATCTACCTTCAGAGAAGGGCTGTAAGTTCGCTGCTGATACACTTTACTTCTTGACTACCACAAAGGAGTTTTTCCCAGTATAACCATGCATATATCTGCACATGGCCTTTACCATATAGCATAATAATACTCTGCACGGCTTTCACGGAGTATAATAGTAATAAAAATACTCTGTTTACATGTACTTTCATTATTTTGTGGCAAGAAAACTAAAGCAATATAAATTCATTTTTGTAGTGGTTGGTGTCAGTTAATACATTCTTCTTCCAGAAGTAACGTATTGTAATATAAATTTCCCTTTAAGATAGTGCAGAACAAGGTTTAGGTGACATTATTTGTGAATAACCATTTATTTGTGACTGTGACATAATTTAATGCAAATATATTGCTCTGAAATGATTTGATCTGATGTCAGATTGATGGTTTGTACTTTTATTATGCATAGTATTTATAAAAGTCCACCATCCCACATGTATATAGAAGTAAACTTTATCAGCTATTCACTGTACGAATATATAGCTTCATTAAAAGGGCTCTGGAGATGCATGTAATTTGTGAAAGAAGAGCTTGTGATGTTTCCACTATAAAACCTTGCTGAAATTCCCTTTGAATTTGTTTCATGTTACTTTTATATACAAGTGCATTTTATGTTTGTATACTTTTTATAGGAAATTTTTTTTTTTTTGCTTAAGTTCAAAATCTCTTCTGAAACCCATAAAGTTAAACCTACCTAAATGATTTCACTTCTTCAGATCTACATCTTCACGATGTAAATCTTGACTTGTTGAAGTTTAGCGTAGAACAATGCATGTGAAAGAAAGATCTTGTCGCTGAGAGATGATGGGGTCACGCTTCACAAGGTCAGCAGATGGAAAGAAAATCAATGGGACCAGAGTCTTTTTAAAGAGAGGGTGCGGAGGCCAAAAGGTCTGAGTCCAACTCCTCTAGCGCTCCTTCCACTTTTTGAATTATTTGGGTACCTGACCATTGATAGGGAATCTTAAGTAGCGTACTTCACCTTAATATACACTTGTAATAGTCTTGAGTGTTTTGATTTAGTATAGATTGTCTGTAAGTCCAAGGGGAAGAGCGAGAGCTCGCGTGGGAAGAAGAATGGGAGTTGAGGAGACAGCAAAGAGGCTCTGTGGTGAGCAATGGGGCTTCTGGAGATGCACACGCAGGCCTGAAGAAAGCCTTTTGGGCTGTTAGTCAGAAGATTTCCGAAAGCTATTATCATCACAACGATGATATTTACCTGTTTTTCACCTGAGTCCTTGCTAAATGTTGTATAAAAGGAAAGGCTCTTAAAACTGCATTGGAAAGGTAAAGTTTAAGGGTTTTCTTAAGTCCTTAAGAGTCCTGCTGGGAGTTGCAGGGAGTACACAACAATGGCTGCCTACATGGAGAGATGCAGTTTCAAAGTAGTGTTACCGACAGGTTACTTGGCTGTTTTTCTTTTGTTGGTTTTTTGTTTGTTTGGGATTTTTTTTACTAATTTCAGCCTTTTTACGATTTCTGTTTGTAACTAGTACTGACCTGAGAACAAAGACATAACGACACAAATAAGGATTTTTAGGCATTATTTTGACTAACCTGACTGATGAATGTATGGGCCTGCTCATAGATGCTCTGTTCTTTAAGCAAATTACTTTGCTCCTACTTTTCTGTTGCCTTGCATCCCTTTGCCCCCCTGGTAAAGCTGTGCAATTAAAAGATATTTTTACTGTGGTTGAACTGAAAAATGGAAGGGAAAAAAAATTACTTCAGACTCATCAAAATGTGTCCTTCAAACTAAAATTAATTTATATTCCTTTTTCTAGGCATTTGAACTTTTATTAGTTTCTTTGTTTTAATTCCAGTTGAGCACTCAAGTAATTTAAGCTGATCCCAAGCTTCATTTTTGGTGAATTTGCAGGGCTGGGTGAGGTTTGTGGGTATTACTGTTGTCTTTTTCTAGATGCTTGCTTTGTTTTACTTTCTGACCTTATTTTTACTGGGATTTCCAGCAAGCTGCTCATCTCTCTGCTAGCTTCTGTTCTTGTGCCCTTCCCATGCCAGTGGGCAGAGAAGCATGAAACTAACTGGGATCATGTAGTTCCAGTCAGTTTAACATTGATGCTACTGCTACAAGCAACAAATTTTATATTGCAGGAGAAGAAAACAGTCATGCGATGTGATGAGCCTGGAGGCTTCTCCCACTGGGGTGTTTAAACAGAAAATGTAGGAGGCTTTATGCAACCCTCAAACGTAGAGCCCTGCATCCAGTTTCAATTGAATGTGAAACATGTTCTTTAAAAGCACCATGCAAAAAGTACTTTGCAGGTTTTTGAGTAATTGTGTCTGTTTTCTTTTTACCTCACATGCTTTAACGTGCTTTAATGTCAAATTTCATATTCCGTATGCGTGCCCCGGTGCATTCCTGTGTTCTCTCCCAAACGCAGATGTACATGCACACGTGCATGCGTCTTCCAGGAAAAATGTCGTGTGCATCAGGGTATATTCATACCTCCTTTGAGATGTAGAGAAGAAAACAGTAGAGCATTCCCATGAAAAACAAAGTGTTGCCTACAGCGAGTCTCTCAATGCCAGGAACAGTGCACAGGGGCTGTCATGGCATCAGCCTTCATCCACTGCCCAGTCTGTATCGGGACACTGGAGCAAAGCAGCAGCTTAGTTAACTTGTCCTAAGTCTTTGTTTGACAGATGGATGAACAGTTTCTGTAAAGCTCTCATCTGTTTACTTGTGGGCTTTTTTGACTCCACAAATTTCATGTGCCAAATTATGTTGCTTGTACCGAGGGTCAGATCATCATTTCTAGCTTCCATGTAGACTGAAATAAATCCCACTATTGGGACAGTCCGCTCGCTCCTTGGTGCCGCTAGCGCACTGCCTGGTGCTTTCTTTGATCCAGTGGGTTTTAATTTATTTTTACTCTTTGTAAAACTTCAGTCTGCTTTGATAATTAATACCCAAGAAATGTCATGTGTGAGGCTCACTCAAGAAGAAAATAGACTGATTAAGAAGGGGAGAGAGAGAGATGTCAATATATTAAATAGAGGTAACATTTTAGCTTGAAAGACTGCAGATTTTGGCAACTTTGGCTTTTTGAGGGGGGAGAGTATTTCTTTGGATTCTGGGTTTCTTCAGGCACTCTCTTATCCTCATCCACTTCTTTCAGCATGTGCGTGTCCAAATCTAGGCGAGCTGCTGTGGTTAAAAAGGAATCATATGTGTAGGCAAAAATATCTTGTAAGCTGAAATGGGAGATAACTAACCGCTCCCGCCTGGTGTTGATGGGATTACCAGGTACTGTGAATCACTCATGCAGAGAGGCCTGAGGTGACACTTCAGACTTGTTAATACACCAGGGATATTGGTTCTGTTTAAAATAAGAAAGCAGGGTCATCTTAGTGTGGTTCAGTTCAAAGCTTTGAAAATGCCTCTTATTGGAAAGATTTGAAGTAAGCAGTTTTGATCCTTCGGCAGCACGAGCACATCGGTGGCTGAAAGAAGTGGCAGCTGAGCTGGTGTGTTTGCCCCTCTTTTAAACCAGGATTTCTTTTAAAACAACAAATCATAATAAGGGGTGACTGAAAACTATTTTGTAAGCGTTTCTCTCGTTTGGAAGATGCTGTGTAACAGAGGCTCTTCCTTGCCTTTGATTTTTTCTTTTTAAAAGGATTTTAAAACCATGTAGTCCTTGTCCTAAGATATGCTTATTACAGAGTTCAGTGATGTTCCCTGAAGTCGTAATCTAGCTTGAACTGTTTCCCCTGGCTATACTACGAGACAATTTGACTTTGCATGAAGTTTTGAAAACCATATGTGCGGATAATGTTTCAACTTCATGCTCTCTCTGCACTGCAAATGACAAAATACACTTTGAAGTGCTTTTTCATACTTTCTACCGCTGCCTTTTGCATGCGAATGAATATTAATAAAAATAGACCCGCACTCACTTTTGGTTTTAATAGGATGTTCTGTCATCTCTTTAATTTTTCTGTCTCTTGAATTTCCTATTTTTAAAAGTTTTATTTTGTTTGTAGTGCCAGGCCCTATACCTGCCAAGTCGGTGAAAGGAACTCCTTTTGAAGATAAGATCTTCCTCAACTGGAAGGAACCTGTGGATCCAAACGGCATCATTACTCAGTATGAGGTAATCATTAACAGCTAACAAGCATAGGATAGGGCTAGGAAAGTGCAGCAAGAGGGGTGGCTGACGGTGGGTGTTTATGCCCTGTAGGCAGCTATTCAATTATATGTTACTTTCATTTACAGAATACTGGATTTTTGCATAGTGATTAGACATTCAAAAATCATAATTATGGTGCATATGTTATTGGCTGGCTGGCCCTGTCAAGTGGCTTTAGCATGTGAGTATAACAGTACCACAATCCACGTGGGAAGGGCTAGTTTTAAAAATCTTGTTTCGTTACTACACACCCTTCCAAAGCCATGACAGCCATGTTCTGTGAAATCTTCTTTGTTGGAAGAGAAGGTTACATGAAGAGTAAGATGGTTATTAAATTTGGAGCAACGTTTTTTTAGCTTTGTCAAATCTTTAGGTATCACCCTTCAAGGAAGCCTCCATATGTATTCTATTTAAAGTGTATTTAATATATGAGCCTTCTGGGGACCTCCGCAGGAGGTTGGCAGGAAAAACGAGCTGATTTGAGGAAGAAACACCATTGTCTCCAGCACTCCTTTTTTTTAAAGGAACAGAGGATATAATTTTGTGTACTAGTGAATTATGGGAGGAAGACAAACCAACTAACGAAACAAAACCCCTTAAATCTGTTTGTTAGTCTATTTAATGCTAACAAAGTTCTTTAAATATGTGGGTTAACCCTGGTGGGCAGCTCAGCCCTGTGCAGCCGCTCTCTCACTGCCCTGCAATGGGATGGGGGGAAAATCGGAAGGGCGAAAGTGTGAGCTTTTGTGTTTTAATCACAAATCCAAAACACAGCACCACACAAGCTGCTGTGAAGAAAATTAACTCCATCCCAGTCAAAATCAATACATTCAGATATCATTGTAGGCTTTAAATGTGTTAGCTTGGTTTAGACAGCGTTTAAATATGATTATTAGAAGAGGAGAGGGAAATGTATTACAGGAAGTGAAAAATAAAGGAGTTTGGTGGAGATGGGGAGGATGGTGAGGTGTCTTAACTTAAATGTAATAGTGAAATTTTCCATACATGAACTAAAATCACAAGGAAAGAGAGATGAAGGGCATCTGCATAGCCTTTCAAGTAAAGTAGCCTCTACAGTAATACACATCAAGTCCTCATGGTATCCCCAAGATAGCTGGGTAGCTGGATGAACATGTGTCTTTTGTTTCCTTTCCAGCCAAGCTAACCTAATCCCCTTGTGCCAAAACCTGGAACAATTGTTACAAAAATAATTGTTTTCACAGGTCAGCTATAGCAGTATACGGTCATTTGATCCTGCAGTTCCAGTCGCAGGACCTCCGCAAACCGTGTCAAAGCTGTGGAACAGCACACACCACATCTTCGCACACTTGCATCCTGGTACTACTTACCAGTTCTTTATACGTGCAAGCACTGTCAAAGGATTTGGACCAGCAACCACAATCAATGTAACAACCAACATCTCAGGTAAAAACAAAGAAACAGAAAACAGACAAATGAAGCCAACCAAACAAAGAGACAAAAAAAACCCCAACAAAACCAAAAAGGACAGTGTATGTGTGCATATTTTGGGCATTTTTTGGTAGGACTTGAAAAATCGTGAAATGGGGAAAGAAAACCTTCCAAAAATCCTATCATGTTGTGAAAGTATATTACTGAAAATGGTTTTGAGTGTACTTGCCAAACAGTAGCATAAGTTCAGGGATAAATCCTTGCATGAGGTGGAAATTGTACACCTGTAGTTGTTAACTGATTTTGTGTAATGTTGTGCTTTCATCTAAAGATTTTGAAGTGCTGTATAAACCTTAACTAATTAAGCCTTACAGCACTGCACAGGTCACTAAATACTGTATTTGCTTTGCAGATTAGTAAAGTCAGATGCAGAAAATTAACTTGACTTACTCAAGGTGACACCACTTAGCAGCACACAGCTATAACAGAACTGGGGTAGTTGGGAGGAAGTATGAATTTCTTTAGCCAGATTCATATAAGTCTGCTTCCTCGTGCCTTTATTCACTTACTGCAATGCACCAAGATTGACACTATTTGTCTTAATAATGCACTGCAAACTCTAGAAGAAAGTAACGTCAAATGGAATGCTTTAGTATTTTTATTTTCTTAAATTTCAGTATTATTCTCAAAAAATAAGATAGTAGCTTATGCAGTTAATAGCAGAAGATAAGTCACTGCTATATCCAGAGAGACTGTTGATTTTATGACATGGCAACTTCAGAGCTTGGCAGAGATCAAAGAAGTCAGTCATTTAGAAATTTAAACAGCACAGAGCAGGCTATTTTCCCTATTATCTGCCATAATGGAACTTATATTGTCCTGTAAAGGGAAGTTAATAACGTATTGGAATGCACCTACCATTTCTATGGGAAACTACTCACATAATTTCCTCACTGAGTTCCCAAAAACATGCACATAAATCAAAATGTGAGAAAATTCAAGGCAGAGCGCCTTGAATTATGGAGCAAGTGAAATACTGTAGTTGTGGTAGTTAACTGCAACAATTGATTGACTTCCATCCCAGCACGTACCCTCATACTCCAGCCCCTTCAAAAATTCCCAACCAAACCACCAAAAAAACCCAAATTACATGTTCTGTTCTGTTCTCTTTATCTAGCTATTAGGTTGTTTTGAAGTCCAGTATTTTATTCAGGTTGTTTTAAGGTCCTTGTGTTTCTTCACAACTAATTCCAGTTCATAAATTTTCAGGAATAATGGTGGTGTAGTACTTGCATACTTGTCTTCCAACCTCTTTGTACAAGGGGGGGAAAAAAAAAAATGATGTAACTATGTATTATCTTACTAGCATGTCTGTCCCCCACACTTTTCAGGATTTTGAGAAATAAGCACCTCAACATGTTTAGATTATTTAGGACTACAGTGTTTTCTGGCTTCTTCAGATATGCCCTCTTTTTCCACCCAGAAATTTGGGGAATTTTGTCCGGAGTCCATCCTACCACACTTTCTAGAGACAGTATGGGTCTGTTAGTTGGCAAAACGTGGTTAATAGTAGGAAAGCCTAAAGGTAGGCTGTGACACCCTTTGTATCTGAGTTTCAGCCTGTTTTTTTTTTCATCTTTATGCTGAACTGTTGTCTAGTTTCACTCTGCATAACTGACAGTTTTTGTGAAGCAACACATATGTTTCAGGAAATGCTAGCTTTACTTTAATAAGGAGTGAAATTATTCCTTTTAACCAAGCTTACAAGTGGTTACCGTGATCCCAGTGAGCATGGTGTAAACAGTCATTTATAAATGAACATTAAATGAACATTATTTCTATAAAATCATATTTCCTGAAATAAGAGCAATTTTTGTGCTCATATAGGATCTGGGACTAATGAAACAAGGCTTTGAATCTTTCAGTGCTTTTCTATCTATTGACATATTATTGTAAAATTATTATGACTTAAATGATTGACATCCTACTAGGAAACATCTGGTTTGTGAGAGTTCATTTTTAAATGTAGCAACATCATTAACAATTTTATAAAGCTACAGCCACATATAAAAAAACCCCATGCAGATAGTTTTCAAGCTTGTTAGAGATCAGTAATTAATAGAAATCTATTATTTTCTGAATCACAGAAAGTCCTGTTTCTTTCCTTGCACTAGAGCTGAAGTCAGCAACAGTATTACCGGTGAGGACTGTAACAAGTTTGTGGCAGCAGATTAAGGTTGGGTGGTTGAAGTAATCACCAACACCAGCCACCCAACCCACAACAAATACTGCTGCCACGAAGGCCTGACAACCAGTCCATTAGTGAATCAGTTCCTGAACTGCTTCTGGTTTTGACTTTGATTTTGTTTTTAATTAATACCCTGGGCTGAAAACTGCAGTGATTCAGAAACTGATTAATGAGCAGCTTTGGCCATCCAGTATTAGAAATAGAAGGAGAAATGGGCATGGGAATAGACTCCCCCATACAGTTCTAGTCCACAGATGTACGTCTATCGAAGCCCGATTTTCCTGCACTCTCGTTGGTATTGGTGTGGTGTCCCATGACATTTAAGAGGAAATATGAAAGGTTCTGAAATTGTTGGAGGAGGAAAAAGAGAGGTGGTAGAGGTTAGGTCTTCAAGATGGTGAATACAGTTGTTTGTAAGGTAGAGAGAGGCTAAAAAGGGATTTTGTAGTCTTAGAGTTTCTTGGTAGTCACCTCCTCTCTCTATTTTTGTCCTTCTCGAATAAACCTTTTTAACATGAGGGGGAGCAGTTAGGGATGGGGTTATCAATTGTTGGTGAAGTCCCATTCATGTTCTAGGATTGTGCCTGACTGGAAAATCATTAAAAAATACTGGCGTAGCTGATGAATATTGTGGCTTTGTATTATATTGTGAATAGCCACAATCTTATGAAAAGTCAAAATGTTTTCACTGATTTGTTTCTTGTTCTTTTCCTTCCCACTCAACTTTAATCAGCTCCCACTTTACCAGACTATGAAGGAGTCGATGCATCTCTCAATGAAACTGCTACTACAATAACTGTACTCCTGAGACCAGCACAGGCCAAAGGTGCACCTATCAGGTAAAAAAAAAAAAAAAAAAAAAATTAAATTAAATTAAAAAATCAAGAAGGGATTTTTTTTTTTTAGTTGATTATATGCTGTCTTGCAGCTCATTGAGCTGTTTATTTCCAAGTGATGTTCATTTGACATTACTATTGTTTTTCTTAGCTAGACTGAGCTTGCCAATAGATCAGTAATTAAAAAGAAAAAATTCTTGGTGTGTTTTTTTTTTTTTCTTTAAAGATAGCTGGATGATTGAGGTCATGATTGTCTGTCCTGTTTGATTTGAGGTCCCCAGGACCACCTCCTATCCATTATCATTTCATTTTACTTTCTCACAGTGTCTCTGAAATGCGAGGTTGTAAGGTGTTTGTCAGAAAGTGGATTTGAAAATCACACTTCCTCTCCAGTGCTTCAAATCAGCTATTCTATAGCATATATGTATGATTGGAAAATTGGAAACTCAGAGGAAATTGGAGAATAATAGTGATGAATACAAACTATTTGACCTTTTTCCTCTCATAGTGCTTCTTACTAGAAATCATGTAGCAAGCTATTAAATTTTATTTGGCGTGTCCCATAATCATATTAAAACGTTTCATTTATGTTAACTTTGAGGGGTCTTTCCCTTTCTGCTCTCTATTGAGAGATAATTTAATTCTGTTTGCAAAGATTAGTCCACATCCTGCTCTTTACTTCTACTTGTTAGTGCAAAAAAATTATGATATTATTTGATTCCTTTTGTGTTTTACTGATGTGGCTGCATCAGCAGTATTCAGGGACAAGATTGACTAATTGGAGGTTAATTAGCTACTGAGCATCAGAACCTTTTCATGCTCTTACCCTTGTGACATTTTTGAGAAATACGGGCTAATGCATTTCATTCTGTGTTACATTAAGTCGATTACCGTGGCTCAGCTGATGTCGAGTAATGTGCCTGAGCCCTAAAAGTAGAGGAAAATTAACTATTTCTTAAATCTGTTTCCATTAAGAGGAATGTATGTTTTACATGGATGTTGTGGGGATGAGTCAAGTACCTATAAGCATTTTTATATGCTAATCATGTAGTCACCTTTATGATTGATATGAGCAAGTTATTTATTTTCTATCATAGAAGATAATCCAAATTCATCCCCTTTATAGGAGATATTGATGTGTTATATTCATAAATAAAATTGTAACCCCATACATCATTAGTTTCTGAAAGATTGCCCTGGAGCAAACCTAGGATTTTTTTGGGTGTGAAGAATGATAAAATGTGTACAGGACTACATTTGGTACAGGACTTGGATTCCTAAAATAGGGGGGTTGTTGAATTGATGCAGTAGAAACTGGACCTGTGATCTGAAAATACTCCCAAGTTATGTGAGTGCTTAAACTCACTACATTACGTGCCTTTGTAGATGCTTTTAAAGCCTTCCAGGTGTCCTGCTGCTGGCCGTATCTGAACCTGTCCCTGTTTGAGAAATGTTCTATCTCTCATCTAATCCGTACCAAATCCTTTCAGTTTTGTGCTGGTCCCTGGAGGGGGCTGACATGTAGGCTCACCTAGAGCACGCCTGCCAGGGACCTCTGGGATCTGCTGTCGGTGGTGCACGTCTTCTCGGCGGCAGCTGCTCCCTGGCACGTTTGTGCAGACAGCAGCGGGCTCCCACCTTCCCTCCTGCTGCTCACCCTGAGCCGGGTCAGCCTCGCATCCCACGTTTCTCTCCTGGGGGTTTTCTTTTGTGAACTGGTAGCGTGATGGGATGTGGCTAGAGGATTACTTGTACCTAGCTCAGGGAGCTCTGATTTTTCTGCCCTGTACTGGCAGACAAATATCTCACTGCGGAGTTCGCCTGCAGCACACCACCTTGCAGTTATTCCCTCAGTTTTCCCTTCAACATCCTCAGCTCTACAGCGTGAGCTTGTCACTGTGGCCTATGAAGGTGGCAAAGAGGATCCATGTACTAAATGTTAACAGATAGTTTGATAAGGGTATTAATAACTCTTGTTTGAGTATGTTCTCAAAAAAACATTTGTCTTACTTCCTGTCTCCTATTTTTCCTCTCCACTTTAATTAATTTCTAAAACCTAAGAGATTACATGAAATTTCGAGCATCAAGAGACCAAGGAAATAAGTCCTTCACCATAACCGGAGAACTGGGCTTTATTCTTAAATCAAACCGGGTGGTTTATTCCTTACTTGGAATGAGGAGCATTCTCCAGGGGAGTGCAGAAGACATGGTCCCGTTCCCTTTCCTGAAGTTACACATATTGCAGTCAGGTACTTTTCAGCAGCTTCTTAATAGGGGAGATAAATGTAGCACACTGAAATTCTGAAATGGTTCAATGCGTTTCACTAAACTTTATGATGCGTTTTAGTGAAGCTTCACTCCATCCACACTGCAGTTGTGTTTCCACTACAAGCTGGCTTGCTGCCATAATGAGTGTTACTAGGTAGGTGGGACAAAATGCATCGCCATGCCTGCAGCTGTGATGGAGTAGAAGAGACTCAAATACTATTCTTTAGCCTGATACTGAAGAATACTGTCGGCTTTTTGAAAAGGTTTGTTTGCACCCAGTTCTCTAATCCCTGGAGCTGCAGATAGTCAGAAGATCATTTTCTTTAATAGCAGTAGGCCCATGTTTTTTAAAAAAGGAAAGAAAAAAAAAAAAAGAAAAGAAAAAAGCTTGATCTCATACTCTTTTCCTTTTACAAACAGAATTATACTACGATCAGATTTTGTTATACCTCAGCCTCTCCATCAGCACAGCCCCCCAGGAAACAGATGTTCCTTAACTCAAGTGTAATCAATGTGCAGTTGTCAATCATTTCTTTAAGACACTAGATGCCATAGTCGTCACAGTTTAAACATGACTCTAATCATATCTTCCCTGTCAAGTGTTATCGTGTAATCTCTAGCATTCTTTATGGCCTCCTGAAGCTTTATACCAAATTACAAACTAGAAATGCAAAGGGAGACAGAAGTGGATGGCTCAGGCTCACCGTGAAGTGCGTGCCGTTTCACCATCAATCTCGTGGATGAGATCCCAGTCTGTAGAATCAATGGTGCTTCAGCGATTCATCTGAAGACGTGATTTCTCACTGTAGTTTTTCTGAAGGATCCTAACTGAGCACCAGCAAAACAAATCTTTTGTTTTCAAATATTACTGCAAATGAGGATTACAAAAAGCATATATCAGAATCAGCGTAGACAACTTTTTAATTATTACATTTTATTTTATTTGATTGGTGAAGTGTTTTTCTTATACCTCCATATGCAAAACCATGTTGTTTTCATTTTGCAGCAAGACTAATTAAGCGGACCATGGCAGGGAGCGACTAAAACTCAGTTGTCAGTTGGAATTCCAAGAGCTGGGGTTGTAACTTGGGCTGTCAGTCAGTCTGGCACCTGTCAAAGGAGAGAATGCTGTGTCTCCGCTAGACACGTAGAAGGAAGTCTCTAGCTGATATTAAAGCCTAGTCAGAATAGGGCTGAAGTACGATCAACGTGTTCATCACCACCGTACCTCTTTGGGAGCCTGAATCTTTAGGGAGGCATGAAAAGGAAGATCTGTTGTAAGGGACCTCCTTCGGCTGTTTGTAATCATCTTAGTCAGTAGGGAGATACTGTGGAGGTTTTCTTAAGTTAAAAAAAAAAAGGTTTTTAGACATGAAAAATAATTTCTTCGTGCAAAATCTCAGCTGTGGAGCTCTTCATCTGCTATATCTTCAACACCTTCTCCACTCACCTGACTCTCTCAGACAACTGTTTGGCCTTTATGATCCCGACGACTTATGTAGCAGGTTCTGAAATTTGTAGTACTCTTCAGAATAGCTCAGAATTTATTTTAGTCATCAGGGAGAAGGAATATTGTTATCTAGGTTTTCCACTCCTCCCTCTTTGTTTCTCTCTTTTATTCCTCCTTTGTTGTATGGGAAGAACTGGAAAAAAATTGCTATTGTAGGAACTAGGAATTCCCTCAGCTCCAGTCACAAGAAAGCACTCTCAATAATTGAATTCCCACCATTACACAAAAACTGTAGAAAATTTAAGGTAATTGAAGCTAGGATTGGTAATATGTAAAAATGCAAGGATAAGCAGAGTACATAGCCTTTAAACTTTTAACTTATAGCCTGATATCAGACCACATTTGCAGCCAGTGAATACCCTGCTTTTCAAGTTGCAAATTTAATTTTGGCTTCTTTCTTCACATCTTACAGCAGGGTGTCCTTTCTGAACGCTATTATGTGTACATAGAGTAACAGTGCTGCTTCGGAGCCACTATAGTGTTTAGTAAATGGGTTTAAACAGATGGTATCGCGAAGGGCCCAGAGGTAAATGACTGTATTCCTCCGTGTCTTGTTAGCCTATAATGTTGCATGAAAAATACTGCCAGATCCCCTTTCCGAAGAGGACAGGCATATCTTTTATTTAAAAAATACTTTGTGAACGTTCAAAAAAAAAAAAAAAAAAAATAAAAATAAAGAAATAAAGCCTCGTTGGAGACTTTAAAGATTTTCTGTCATATGTTATTCTTTCTTGAACTAAAAGTAATTGTATGAATGCAAGTGGCTACAATGTGTATATCTATTTCTTATTTTCTGCATTTTGTAGCTTTTCATATGTAGGAACCTAAAAAAGCATTATTTTTGGAAGCATATTTTATGTAAATTACTTTATTTGAAAATTTTTCATAACCTTCATATTTTATTGTGATCTCATGCTTAAAATGTTGACATACCTTTTATATCACATTCAAAAGTTACTGCGTGTTTTTAAAGAATGCTATTAAAAGAGACTTTCCTAATATTTAACTCTCATGCCCTTCACCTTTGATTTTTGGTTTGTTTTGCTCTCTGGAGAGACTTGACCCTTAAAAAGGAGATGTGCCTTGAAAAAAAGAGACCTCATTTACCCCTTATTCTTTAAAATAGAGGGAAAAAAATGGGGTTCATTTGGTAACGGTGGTGGATCTGGGCTCCTGAGCTGTGTGACGAAGCAGGCTGTTCCAGGGGACGGTTGCCTCCCGCTCTCCCTGCTGGCTTTCTCCTCTTGAGTTGGCAGGGTGTCACAGATGCCAAGTTTCCTGCTCTCCTGGCACTTGGGAGAGCGGAATTTGTGTCGGTCCCAGTCCTTTGGCAGCTCATGAGAGAAGGGAGCAGAGACGCCGTGTCTGTGTTCCCAGTACTCTCCAGTTGGTTGGCTGCCCAGTTTGGGAGCGGTGTTTTTAACCCCGGGCCAGGCTAGCGAGGGAATGAGTGCTGGTAGTCATTTCTTCCCTTGGGCCATTATGAACAAAAATTATTTTTAATATTTTACATCCTATCAAGTTTGTAAAGTATCGATGTTTTTCATTTTTTTTGCAGTACATTAATTTTGAAACGTAAAGGAGGATTCTGGGTGCACAGGGGTCCTGCGGAAGTGATTTATCGGTGCAGGCCCCATTAGCTGGACATGGTTAATACATAGAGTTTACCACAGAAGGTGATTTATAACCAAGCTCAGTTCACAGACAGTTTATGAGAAACAGAGATCCCTGGAACTACCTCATCATTTTTTTGTTTACGTTCTTCTTTTTACCTGGAGTTTCAAAAATGATGTGAATTTGTATATTCATGTTGGACACTTTGAAATGGAGCAGGCTTTCCTCCTCAATTTTTTTAGGTGCCAGGAAAAGGAGATGCTAACTTTTTCTTTCATCTCAAGAAAGACGTGAAACTAATTTCTTATTTTTTTCTTCTCTCCTTTCTTCCATTCCCCAGTATCATACTTCATCTCTGCCACTACAGTTATTGGGTTTTCTGAGCAGTAGTAGCAGAGAAAATTGACAAAATAATTTAATGCTGCCCCATAAGTTCTGAAAGAAGGAGGATTGTCTTTGCCTTTGCCTTTCAGAGTCCCTGCAGCAATGCGGTGACACTTCGAGAACTCCATTCAATTTTACTTTTTCTATTTAGAGAGCTTTAAAACAAAAACAAGACAGGCAGTTCTGCCAGTTTAATTGAATAGGTTCAGGTCTTGTCTACATACTTAGGCATATTTTCTTACTAATCTTTCATAAGGTCCTCAAATGTATCTGCATATAAATGAGAAATTGTGTGCATGTATACCCGTGTGTGTATATGTACATATGCGTACATATAGTTCTTAAAACCCCAAAAACTCTTTTTTCTTTTCTTTTTTTTCTTATAAACTGAAGATTTGCCTCCTGCTCTCAGTATGTAAGTTTTGTACTTCTGCAGAGCAGAGGAAGCTGATAATGAGTTGGTAACATCCTGCAGTTAGGTAGTTCCCCTGAAGGAGAAGGAAGATTTATAATTACCTGTTCTATTTTGAGCAGGTGATTTTGAAAAGTGACCAAGCCATGGACCATTTCAAGAGAGGTATTGGGAGGTTGGGATGGCATTTTAATAGGCCAAATGTCATCTGCTTCAGCAATTTGTAATGTTTTATCGTTGACAACTGTAGAGGAATGAGGCAGTCTATTTTGGTGGAATGGACAGATTTCTGTCCATCTGTGCTTGTATTACAGCATGTCACTTGTACTTTAGATCTGCATAGCTCTGAGCCAAGATAGAAGCCACAGCAAGGTCAAGAGGTGGAGAAGCCTGTCAGCACATTCTGTCTCTAATGATATGACAACTGCAAATTGGTGCTTCAAGCATAGCCTGGAGACAGTCATTATGTTGGGCCTTGAAGCTCAGCTTTCTCTAATATAATTTCAAAGGAAAATGCTAACTTCAAATGCTTCCAATTAGCCAAGAGTTTAATCTATTGTAGTTTAAAGTCAGATTCATTCCTGTGTGTCTTCGAAAGAAAAAAAAAACAAAAACACAAAAAAAGTATTGTTAGGATGTTGTGTATAGATATGTATTGTTGTTTTTCCTGAAAAAAATGGATGCTGCTTCTTTCCAATGGCTGAATTGGATAGCTTTGCTATATTTCAAGCCTTTGTTTCTTCTTTGCATCCATGCATCTGCTGTCTTTTCCTTCTTTCTTTTCTTTGCTTTCTTTTTAAGTTGACAGAAAGCAATTGGGTTAATATTTTTATGAGACTAGAGACTGGACCGTAGCAGGTGACCTTAAAGTTATGCTGATTTTCCTCTCTCTCACTAGTGCGTACCAGATTGTTGTTGAGGAGCTGCACCCACACCGAACAAAGCGAGAAACGGGTGCCATGGAGTGCTACCAAATCCCCGTCACCTATCAGACCGCTCTGAGCGGAGGGTCACCATATTACTTTGCTGCTGAGCTGCCCCCAGGAAACCTGCCAGAGCCAGCCCCCTTTACCGTGGGTGACAACAGGACTTACCAGGGTTTCTGGAACCCACCGCTGGCTCCTCGGAAAGGCTACAACATCTATTTCCAAGCCATGAGCAGCGTCGAGAAGGTAAGTGCCGACCACACTTTTCTCCTGGAAGGAGTCAAAGACATGCCCGTGGTGACAATTGGGACTATCGGAGTTGGACGTAGGAGGTGTTGGAAGTGGCATGGCTGTAATCCCTTCCATGCTGTGACAGCATGGTGGCCTGCCATTCACATTTCACACCGCCCTTGTATCATAGTGACTACTGTTAGATGAGAGTTTAATACATCTCATAGTAACCATCTGAGCAAAGTAATTTCAGTGCTGTGACTCTGCAACCTCGGTAAATAACATCCACAGTCCTTTCCCCAATTCTCAGTAGTTGCACACTTCAGAAGATTAAATTACTGCAGGATAAACAGAATGTCGGCTGCTCAGCGGGCTAATAAAATGTTACAAACTTTTTGAGACTCTTATACTGAACATCAAATAAAAAGTAAAAATTTGCTTGAGCAAAAATAACCCCAGGCCCACAGTGAGTTTACGAGAGCCTTTCTGAAAAGATGTTCTTCAGGCTTGCTCCACCGCTGTGCAGCAGGAGAAGTACGGCTGTCGCTCACCTTCATTACCTCCTTGGTGTTTAATTTTTAACTCTGTTGCTGAGTACTGCTGCTGGCTCTGTATGCGTATGGAAGGGGAAAAGTGCCAGGGAGGGGAGATTCCAGGTGGGAAGAACAACTGTGGCTTTGCACGCCCCGTGCTGTTGCTCTTGAATGGTTTTTCCTCTGGTAAATGAAAAATGAGGGAGGGGGAAATGATCGGTGAGGAGGGAAAATGTGGTAGACACTGAAGCCTCAGATATGTAAAAACTAAAAATTTTGATTTATTTCCTTCAGAAAACTGAAGGAAATTGCAGTAATATGTCCATAGGAGTCTCCATATGAAGTGTCCAGGCAGGTCAGAAAGAAACTAGAAGGGACAGCTAGATTGATAGCCGCCGAGACGCACCAGAGCCATCAGAAGGGAGCAGAAGGTGTGTTTTTCCTTACGTTTGGGTCTCTGTGGTGACTAAACGAATCCTAACCAACAGGCAGCCTTGCCTTGGAACCATTTGCAGAAAATATCCCCTTCTACCTATGATTATGAAAATCGCGTATGCATCAAGTCAGAATTGGGACAAAGCAGGAGCTAACAAAACTGTACTGGAGCTGCTTGAGAACTGGATGATTTTTCTGATGGAAGACCATTCCCTCTTTTTAGTTCTTATCTATAGACATGTATGAAGCAAACAGAGCAAAATAAAAAGTAACTACTAGATGCTCATCCATATTTCCCTCATCTGCTACAAATAATTCCCTTTGCTTTTGTTGGCTTCCAGCAGACTAAATTGTAAGGAAGTTTGTTTCATTTCCCAAGAAATAAATGGGAGGGAAAAGTAAAATTAAAATATTAAATACAAAAATAGATCTTTATTTTGGCTTTTACATTTTGACAGATAAGTAGAAGATGAGGGAAGAACACATTTTTAACTTTATTTCAGTTTGTGAGAGAGTTTAATCCTAAAACGGTTTTCTCTGGTGTGATTTAAAGCTTTGGATCAGATTTCTGTTCCTAGAGGGATCTGGGGGGAGATTTGGGGGGAATTGCACTGCATTCAGCAGGGACAGAGATCTAGTGGTTGTATGATAACCTCTGAGCTGCAGAATATTTAAGCAAGTGCTTTACTATAAACCAGTGGGATCACCAAAATAGTCAAGGGGAAGTAAAGCATGCTGTGAAATACACTGTAGGGTTGGGATGAGGGTTACTCTGTGATCCTCGCAGACATTTTGAACAAAAGTGGACAAGTAAATCCAGTAACTGGGGAGAATGCTAATTAGGTAAGATTATATGGATAAACTTTGCAGGGCATTCATTTAGATTGAAAAATTGTCTTTATGGAACACTTATGGGAAACCTTAACTCACAGCTTTGCTTGTTCTTTACAAGCTGTGTTTACAAAACAGCATCAACACATTTTACCTATTGCTCTGGAATCGTCAAGAGGAGAGGGATCCCAGGAGATGTATTTGAAGATGGAGTGCTGGGGGGTGCAGGACTAGAGGGAGCATATTTTATAGAGTTAAACTGTCATATTTTCTAATTACATGCTAATATTGTTTAGAGTGATCTAATACAAGAGCAGCTGCATCCTCTCACGCAACCTTATGCTATTTCAGTATGTTTGCCTTTAAAATGACTGCACATTGTACGAATAGGTCAGAAAACCCATTTATGACTGACCCTCGTCTGTTCAAGTTGTCCAAACTGTGCATAGCCAAGTCTTTCCTCTGTTCATTTGTTTCGATTGCTGACTAAACTTCTGAAACGGGGAAAAAAAAACAAAGTAAAATATATAGAAATAGTCTTTGCATGTGCAACTTCTTCTGAAGCACATCGCTGTCAAATCACTGTCTTTCCTAGGCCGATTATATAGGTTGTAGGTTGACTGTGTCATATGTGAAGGGATACCTGGGCTGCTTCGATGGTCTTTGCACACTCAGAAGCACGAGGGAGCACCTTCTGATGTGCTTCAGGTGACTCTGTTCAAGGCTGTCAGGATGCACCAAGACATAAGCTTGGAGACAGTGCTGAGCAAATGTACCACCTTTGCTGCACGGTGCGGTTAAAGGTCTACAGTGGCTGAGGATTTCTGTGCCATGACATAAATAGGAGCACCAGCCCTCCCCTTTTCTTCTGTTGCACTCTCTCTCTGTATTCTTATGGCATGATTTCCATTTGATTTGAATAATCTGAAAATTTGCTACATTTGGGCTGTCCTGCACCTTTTCTCCCCATCGTTGCCCTGCATAGTATGGACCAGTGTCTAACTTTCATCCAGCTTTTGTAAAGGCAAAATCATCCACCCTCCTCCCCTGCTAAGCCGAGAGCCGCGAGCCACCTTGTTGGGTTGCCCCGGCTGATCAGCAGATCTAGGACAAATGTAGGGAGTGGGGAGGGCAAGAAAAAGCAACCTCGTCTGACTTGTCTTTACTTTTCCCTCCTCAACAGGAAACCAAAACTCAGTGTGTTCGAATAGCTACAAAAGGTAAGAGGTTCGTCCCTCCACACAAAGTAGCTTTTTTTAATGAAATGCAGCGTTCCTATTAAATGTTTGACTCAAAGCCAGTGCTATCCCTCTGTTTTGAACCACTTGATTGTCTTAAAATGTAAAGGGCTACTGCTTTTTATTCTTTGCTATTGGGCCAACAGAGTACTGTTCTAGCAATCTGCAGAATTTAGACAAAACAAGCACTCCTTTTGCATCCCTGTCTGTGGTTTTCAAGATCTGCTTTTAGGCTGCTGGAGCAGGAGGCAACTAGATGGACGAGACTAGAAAGCACACTTGGTAAACTGTCTGTTATGCTAACCGTTATTTCCAAGTAGTGGTGGAAATAATTTAAATGAAGGACATGGTAGTTAATTTTCCGAAGGAAGAGCTCTGAGTGTTAGCTAAACACAGGGGAGGGTTGATTTGAGGAAAGCTCATGTCTTTGATAGCAAGTGAGGCCCAGGGTTAAGACTGGCTGCATAGCTGTGAGAATAAATCATACTGACTCCACGTACAGCGGGTTAATCACATACTGCTCACTCAAAAATGCGGTTTCATCCTCAAATGAGGACTCAGTTGTTCTGCTTATTGTTATCTCTTGCTTTGCCTGTGTTTATATCCATTCATTTTGGTTGCTTGATTGTGTCAACATGAGAGTTGTTTGATAGACTCTGGCAGCATAAACAAGAAAAGAGCTTATAAATGCTGAGAGAGTACTCTACAGAGGCCGAGCACTACTTACATTGTCTCTTTCTAATTGCATATTCATATTCAGCGTAAAAACAACTTTAGATATGAGCAAGTGGGCATTTAAAGTACTGCGGTGGCACATCAGCACCATTTTTTCAATTGCTTCTTTCAATTTAAAACTTGTTCCAATTAAAAGCTGATGCCTCTAATGAGGTGGTAGCAACCAAACGTTTTCTTGAGAAACAGGAAAATAAAATGTACTTCTCAAGATGTGTTAATATTTTTGTCAAGTGAGGTAAACTAATAAAAACAGGAAATTAAAACCATGAGCTAAGTCTTCTGTGAAAAGTACATCAGCATTATCTTTCTTATGTTTAGCTGGCAAGACTAAATGTTTGAATTAAAATATATTTGCATAAACAAATATTTATGTACCACAAGCATGTATTGCTAGGATTTGAGTCAAGGGAGAGTCTTGAAAGGCTCAGAAATAACCTAAAATATTGCAGGACTGAGGAAGGAGAAAGCAGTGGTCTCTCTCATCATAAATTTTCTGGATAGCAATAACAAAACAGGGAAGGAATTCACCTGGCTTATGAGGAAATTAGTTTTTACTTAACCATACTCAGTCCACCGATCTCAACATTCACGGGAGCAATAGTTGTGTTGGTGGTTGCTTGTATGCCTTCCTCTGCCGTAGGAGTCATCTTCAGCCTGGTGGCTGCAGTCTGAAGGCAAGGGGAAATGAGTAGCAGGTTTCTTACCGTCGTGCTGTAGATCTTGTATTTGCCACTCTGGCTAAAGACAAGTTTCCCTGAAGTAACTGCATTGCCTGATATGTCAGTACTATATTCCTTGAATGTGGAACTAAAAACCAAAATGTTTTCTCTGACTTTATTTTAATTGATAGATGTGAAATGTGGGGGGAGGCAACATTAGGAGCAAATGCTTTCTCTTACTCTGAAGGAATGCATTTAATAGGGCACCTTTTCTTCAAAGTCCCATGTGTTCATACCTCTGAAACGAGTTATACTGGTATTATAAATCATTTTTAAAAACTGATACTGAAATGTTTTCCCATGTTTTCATTGTAAAAATAATACCATGATTTGTTGTACTTGAAGAAAAGTATACTTAATCTGTTGGTTTATGTATACGTTCATCTGGTTATGCTGATTTTTTTTTTTCATAGTGTGTAAGTTTACTTTAAATCATTGATGTAGGAGATATCTGGTTACATTTGTAATATATTCATAGGGAAAAGAGGACTGTCTCACCTTACCTAATGCACCCCAGTAAAGCTAACGTACCCTTTTAAAATCCAGCAAATTGTCTAAATTATGCATTCGGTTATAAAAGTAGTGTGTAGTTCTATGTCGTCTGTGACTTGAAGCAGCCTACAGCTGGCCAAACTGAATTTTGCCTTAAACATGTTGAAAAGGCATTAAAAATCATCAAGAGATGGGTGGAAGAGGGTGGAGGGAACAGCCTTAAAGGTGCATGTAAAGGCAAGACAAAATTTCCCTGGTAGTGAAGTTCAGTATAACCAGCAAATGTACTTTCTCATTTTTATCTTGCTCAAGGGTCTGGTGATATCTACTACATATATTCACACCGATAAGATGTAAAGATGGAAAAAAAATACATTAGTAATGTCATGGTTTGGTGCTGGAGAAGTTCATATCCCTGAAATTATAATCTTGATAATTTCACTTTCTTAGATGTGTTACTTCCCTCACTAATTTTTTGCTTGCTTGGGCAGTTCCCTATTAACATAATTTACATGTATTTTAATGCTTAGGGGGTTTTGCACGTATCATTCCCATGGGTTGCCTTCTACCTCTGAGAACTGATGGAATAGTTTGTTTATTGGTGTCAAACTAATGAAAGTCAGCAAATTTAAATTGAAGCACTCGCACTTTTTCAGCCCATATATTCCAAGTGAAATGTTCTCGTGCGCTTCTGATAACAAAATGCACTCAAGTGTGAACTCATCTAAATGATGGTGCCAAATCATGACTAAAGTATGTTGCTGCTTTTGGTGTGTCTTGAAAAAATGTTTTGAGAGTAAACTGAGACGCTTACTCTAGTGTCTGGTGTATTAAAATACACTGAGTTACTTTTTCATGGAAGAAAATATTAGAACAGCACCAGATTAAAAAGTAGTCTCCTGAGCGGTTCCTGTGTACTTGCAGCTGAAGGATGAATGCCACAGTGATTCATTGATGCCTCTGGTTTAGGGTAATAATAGGATTCCCCCTTTATCTTGACACCTCTTTCCACAAAGCTTGTAAGTATTTAATGACTTCATGGCTTTTGCTCTTCTGCAGTTTGGACTGAATTGACCAAGAGAGTCCCAGGTTGTTAGATGTGGCGAGAGGATGTGCAAGTGGCACGCATGTACACAGTCTGTTCACATCGCCTTTGGTTTTTGAGGAAACCACATTAAAAATAACTCCTTGTGATGCAGGTGGTGGGTAGGACATACCTACAGCACCATTTCCATTACAACTATAGCCCGGAAAATATATGAACTCTGAACCGTTTTAATTACTTGGATACTTTTAGCCAATATTGCCTTCCTCTGTCACCTTAATTCCTTTCCCATTCAGATCCTCTTAGTAACCAGTGATCAGTATCAATTAAAAAAAAACAAAACACCACAAAACAACAAACAAAACCGATAGTCAATTGTTCTCTACCTCATTATTTTTCGAATCTAGGTGGTAGCATTACCCAGTCTCTAATAATCTGATTTCCCACACATAGTAACTGAAGAAGGAGAAAAAACTTTTGTTTTCTGAAGTGCAGAGAAGGATACAGAGACTGAGGTAATACATCAGATATCCATTAGGAATGGAAAGATGGAACTGTGCTAGGAAATGTGCTTTATTTGACAACAAAATGTTACATATAATTTCCTAAAGGCAGTTCTCAAACTTCCTAAGACTAATTTGGTAAGGCAGAGTTCAACCAGTCCGTAACGTGCTCCAGTCACAAAGAATACGTGATAACTGAACCTGCCTCAGCAAAGCATTGGTAGAGGAGTGAATAAAAGATGCATGATTCCCATAGTATGCGCTTCTGAGTAGCACACGCTGTTGATGACTGATCGGTCACATCTTGGAGTTGAGTTCGACTGTGTAAAACTTTGAAGGGGTTACCACTTGCACACAACATTGGCATTTCATTTTACAGTCTGTCATGGTTTGACCCCAGCTGGCAACTAAGTACCACGCAGCCGCTTGCTCACTACTACCTTGCCCCACGCCCACCGTGGGATGGAGATAAGAATCAGAAAAAGATAAAACCCGTGGGCTGAGATAAGAACAGTTTGATAATTGAAAGAAAATACAATAATAATGATTGTAATGAAAAAGGAGATAACAAAGAGAGAGAGAGGAATAAAACCCAGGAAAAGACAAGTGATGCGCAATACAATTGCCCATCACCCGCTGACCGATGCCCAACCCATCCCCAAGCAGCGATCGGCTCCTCCCGGCCAACTCCCCCAGTTTCTGTACTGGGCATGCCGTTCTGTGGTATGGAATATCCCTTTGGCAGATTGAGGTCAGCTGTCCTGGCCTTACTCCCTCAGATCTTCTTGTGCTCCTCCTCGCTGGCAGAGCATGGGAAACAGAAAAGTCCTTGGCTTAGGGTGAGCACTGCTCAGCAGCAACTAAAACATCCATGTGTTACCAACATTATTCTCATGCTAAATCCAAAACACAGCACTGCACCAACTACTAGGAAGAAAACTAATTCTATCCTAGATGAAACCAGGACACAGTCTAAAATGTTATCAACTGCTAGGGGAATGAAATCAGATTAACATGGTCAGAAAAGAGTGATGCTTCAAATTACTTAGCATGTAAATAGACATTTAAAAGGACAGAAAGGACAGCAGAGCTGTTATTAAGGAGAGAGTATATGAAGTTGACAGTTTTGACAGTTTTAGGCTGCCAAGTTTGAGGCTAACACTGATTTATGTGTATTCTTTTGTTTTGTTTAGGAGACTAGAGAAAAATACTGAAAATTTAATTAGAAGAAATCTTCTGTGGCAGTAAATAAAGAAGTGGTGGGCCTGGCAGCTCTGTCTTGAAGTAGTTAGAAGGAATAAATGAAGCCCAAGGTTCCTCACTCCGTGTTTAAAACATGAAATTCTTCACCTCCAAAATTATTTTCCCTTGTGGTTTTCATTTGTATTATTAGTTCAGGCAGTGTAGAACTTCTCTATCTCTATGCGTGTTTGGTTCATACAGATGGATGAAAATGCCATTTGAGATGATGCGCATCTGGAAGTAATC